AAGACAAATACTATAATGAATTGAATCTATATCACCAGTCCTTCATTGTCACTGGATCAGAATCCTCAAACTCCCTCATTAACAGCACTATGGGTATACCTGCATCAGTTCAAGCTGATGGCTCACCACCACCTTTGCAAGGGCAATTGTGTAGAAACAATAGATCCTGGTCTTGTAGTGATGACCAGTTCACCTGAACTAATGAAAAAAAAAGGCCTTCTCTGTTTATCTGTATCAGGTACAGAGATGGAGCATTTTACAGCCTGTAATGCTTACCAGTGGCAAAAACAAGAATTCTGTCTATGATCAATGTCAAGATTGGGCAATCATGCTGTGCTCAAACCACTGGCCTCCTGTACTCCTGGATATCAATTAGAAACAACTATGGCAAAACTCATCTGGCAAACTAAATCATCGATAAGTAATAAAAGAACTCTGATTTCTCTCAGCTAAGTTTGCTAAAGAAGACAATTAATATTGAAGGAGTTTGGATGGAGCTTAAAACCTGGTGTATGAATGACAAAATTAAATTTGCATTCGAGCTCTTTTTAATCTTTTTACTGACAATTTTGTGAAACAATTACTTCAGTAAATATTCAGGTTACAAAGAATCAAAAATGATTTAAGACCATGTCTTAGATAAGAAACATCACTTACACAGGAGATCCACGAAAGAAAATGGAAAAGTTTTGGCATGGTTGAAGATTGTTAACAGCTAACCCTTCATAGCCCTACAAGGTGAAGTAAATGGAAACAGAAAGCATAGAGTTGGCAGGGGTGCTGTGTGTCTATGTTTGGAATGGAGATTCAAAACCGGTTTCTAATCAATGGTCACAAGTGATGAAAATGTCAGAAATTGCTGGCATTATGGACCAGACCTAACCCCTCTGAAAATATATTAAAAAGATAGCCTAGACCTCAACTTTCTCTTATTTCTAAAGGCAGGTGTAAGGCATTGTGTTCTGGATGCAATTTGATTGGTCAAACTACCAGACTTGAAGAAGAACATACTTTATTCTTACACTATAGTTAAAATATAAACCAAAGAAAAGATTAGAATAACTTGATTGGAACACTTGACAGAATAACAGATTATTTAACTACCTAAATAGCAACTGTTCCAATATAATAACATTCCATAAACACACCCTTGGCAAAAGCAAGTTCAATAAAATAGATTGTCTCATGAGAAATTCTTCAGTCCAGGAGGAAAAAACATTAAGAGAAAACTCGGAGAGCGGGAGAGAACCCAAGCATTTTGTTATAGTAGGGAGAGATGTATAGCTGCTTCCAAACCCCAAAAGCTACTGAAGGTCAAAGTAAAATCCTGTGGATCTTGATGCCCCTCCCCATCATGTTGCTTCTATTGTTCCAACTTTCAAGAAAGAGAAAACAGAGTTAATGTTTCAGTCCAGTGACCCTTCCACCAATTCTAAAGAAGGGTCACTGGACCCAAAACGTTAACTCTTTTCTCCCCACAGATGCTGCCAGGCTTGCTGAATTTTTCCAGCAATTTCTGTTTTTGTTTCTGATTCCCAGCATCTGCAGTTCTTTGGTTTTTTGATGAAAATGTCAACTCTGTTCCTCTCTCTAGGGTGGTTGCCTGGCCTGGTGAATATTCCCAGCTTTTTCTGTTTTCACATTTCTAGTATCTACATGATTTTACTTTGAATCCTGAAATTGTTTATTTAATCAGAACCTTCACATACACAGAATGATGTCATAGAAAAATAAAGATACAGAAAAGACATGTTCGATTAACCATACCTTAAGTTCTGCATATTCTCAGCCTTTACCATAAAAACAATCATAAGCAGATGCATGGTAATGATAAAAATTTTCAGTGATGTATTGGTGCAATTGTGACCAGGAGGAAAATAAATTAATGTCTTTATTCAGTCAGGAATGAAATATTGCTTTTCAGTCAAAATGAAATTGTGTTTTTGAGCTGATCTCTTATGAAATGCCTTCTAAATTCTTTAAATGGAGGTGTAGAATATCTCCTGTCCATAGTGACAGTTTAATCTCTTTCTCACCATGTGCCATGGAGATCGGAAGCATTTCTTTACCTTGGGGGTTTTAGTCTGACAAAGTTTCTATAGTAACAGGTTTCATCAATGTGTAATACACTTGCCTTCAAGTTTAGAAGTTGTGGCTGTGACACACTTCTGAATTTGAACACAATTCAAGACTAAACACACTGGCCAGCACTTTGGCACAAGACTGTCGGAAGTGCTACATTTTTCAAGATCAGATGCTACATGAAGCAATTTCTTCCTGAAGTGGATATAATGGGGTCCTATCAGACTACTTCAAGAAGAGCAAGACTTTTCCGCAGTCAATAATTTTCCCGCAACAAACTCCCAATAAAACTAACAGAATATGCATCTCAGTTGCCACATGTGAATCAGCAATAGTATTATTGGCTTTAATACAAAAGGCTTGAGTTCAAAGTCCATACCAGACAAGCATGTCAAGAGGAAGTGTTAGCTGTGAACAGCTAACAACTTGTATCTGATGGGTGTGGTGCACCTCGCTGAAGTCTTTAGCCTTCAGAAAGTAGTCCAAAGACAAAAGCCACGAGGAAGGAATGCCACCTCAGTCACTCTTCATCAGTACATGACCCATGTGTGAGACTTGAGTTCAAACTTGAACTAGGACAGAACATAGCAGATGGCCTGAAAATAGTAAACTCCATCTGTACCTTTTTAAAAAAAATTCATTGATGAGATTAGGGTTTTGCTGGCTACAGCAGCACTTATTGCCCATCCCTAATTACCCAGAGTTAAGTGTCAACCACATTGCTGTGGTCTGGAGTCACATGTAGGCCAGACCAGGTAAAGATGGTAGTTTCCTTCCCTAAAGGACATTAGTGAACTAGATGGGTTTTTCCCCAACAATCGACAATGGATTCATGGTCATCATAGACTCCTAATTCCAGATTATTTTGATGGAATTCAAATTCCACCATCTGCCACGGTGTGATTTGAACTCAGGTCCCTGGAATATTACCTGGGTCGCAGGATTAATAGTCTAGTGATAATCCCGTAGGCCATCACCTCCCCTGTGGAAATGTTAAATTATATAAAATGTATGTGCAATTGAGTGTAAATATTTGGATTGGAAAATGACTGCAAGAGTGAGAGAGACTTGAACTGAGCTACATATTCTGGAGGCACTACAGGTTTCGATGCTAACAGTAAGATAATGACTACACAGCTATTATTTAACATGGCCAAGGTAAATTAATGCTAATTTATCTGAGCTTGCTAAAAATTCAACTAACAAAATAGTTACACAGTAAGGTTGTGTACATAAATGAGCCTTAGATTAAAACAAAAGCCTGGATGATGCAAAAAATGCTGTTTTATTTTATCAGGTTGAAATCTCATACATAAAATCACAGAATAAGAGAATGTCTTCACAGTAATCATTTTTAAAGCACAGAATATGTAATATTCATCACTTGTAGTCAACAGCTTTCACATTATGAAAACAATTTGCTGATCCTTTTAGCTATGTTGAAATCAAAATACTCATCAATCATGTAATTTGTAATCGCGGCAAAACTAAGACCGAATAGTATGAACAACACTGCGATACCAATTTTGAATCCAGGAATCCTGAAATCAGAAATGCACACGTTAAAACCATCAGCTAACTACAATTTATTTTTAAATATACATGATGGTTTATTGTCCATGTTTTCCTATTTCTGCTTTCAATGGCTCGGTGGACATGTATATCAATTACTATAGCCTGACATGTCAGTTGAAATCTGAGATATTGTACAGCCTCATTGCAAGTTTCTTCATATCCAAGACAGTGGGGACAGAAAGTAAAAGTGCTAAAAAAAAAAGTATGGCAGTTTCCTTTCCTTAACACTAGAATTCCTGCTGGCAATTAAAGGGGTGGAAATCAGGTAGGAATCTCAGAATTGGCTGTGATGCCAAGCCATTAGACAGCCTCTGGTTGCACACGCGATTAAAGATACTGGGCTTCAGCCAGCATCCATCAACCTAAGGTATCAGTTTTGGTGAAGTGGAAATACTCTGACCTAAAACACAGAAGGTTGTGGACTCCTGACTTACTCCAGGGGCTTGAGTGTCTAATCTGAAGTGCTGCTCCAATGTATGACAAAGGGACAACTGTTCTGTCAGAGACGCCACCTTCCTGGTAAGATAGTGAACCAAGGTCCTGATTAGTCTCTCAGGCGAAGCTAAGACCCTATGGCACCGATCCATGGGGATGTTAATTACCCTTATATTGGCCATTTTTATCCCTTGCAACATCTAAATTTAGATCATTGTCATTTATTTTGTTGCTGCTTTTGGGATCTACTTGAACACTAATTGACTGCTGGGTCTCTCATGTCACAAGTTGCCAAATTTCAGAAAGTACTTTATTGGTTGTAAATGTAAAACCTTTTGTTCTTTGCCTCAATGTGGTGTTTGGACAGCTGTTCAGACCTGCACAGTCAGCCATGTTTCTTAGTTGTCACATCCCGAGTGCAGCCGGTAAAGCATGATGGTTCATTCATCCTTACCCAGTACAGCAAGTGATGTATTTCTGGTTGGATCTGTACAGATGCTTCTTGCCTACCATATAATGGACCTAGCTGTCTGAGCTGTGTGGACCAATTTCTAGGCCATATTCTACATGTTCTCCAATAGACTTTAGTGGTGAAGGAATTTGGATTTGATAATTCACGACTTCATGCACTATTTATAATAAATGGCTATGGTAATGGATAGCTCTTATTCTGGGGCAAGTCACCTGCTCCTCTTCCCCTTCCTACCATACAAGATAGGGAGCAAAAGATGTAGGAGGCAGAATTATCATGGATCTTCTTCATATAGTTTCATACTTATGACAATCAATATAGAAAATAAATCACTCATCTTTCAAACAGGATAGTGCACAGCATGGAAAGATCATTGAGAGAGACAGACAGAAAAACAGGAAGGGAAAAAATAATTAGGAAGAACTTAAATGCATACCTTCCCTTCATTGACTCTGCATATCCGGTAAAGTACATGTGTCGACTAAACAGGTAGACAAGACCCAAGATGGAGGTAATTTCTGAAGGAAAGCAAGTGAAAAACTATTAATTTTTGTAATTAAAATTAAATTAATCATGGTACACTTTGTCAATGTTATGAATATTGTTTCAGTACCCCAAGAACAAATTTAAAGTTTATTTTACATGTTTCGATATGATGAGATATGCCATAATCATGAAGACAGTTACATTGAAGAACAATAATTGAAGTTCAGTAATCAATATGATTTCTTCATTCGGACACCATTGCTAGTAATGATACAGAGTGCTTCCTTCTTTGTTAACTCATACCCAACACCAAAACTGGGTGAGACAGATGTATTGAAGTTTATTAACAACATTATTTAGACTGTTATAAGACCTGTCTTTCACAAAGTCTGGGTTCCATGCTCACTAATATTCTGGCTGCATTCCATGACTGTAACATAATACATGGCTGACTGACTACACACGCACACTGCACTGACCCCACTGCTCTGTGATTACTGTAGAGGAAGTAAGGAGTTTCATCTTGGACATATGTCATGATATTATCCAACTGTCTTCAAGGTATTACTTTTCTGGGATCTATGCAATAATACAGTGGTAATGATATTTAACCCTCAAGTAAGCAGAGAATAAACTGAAGTGACAACAATTAATTTTCAATGCATCTTTGTAGCAACAACAGGATGCAATAACCAGTCTCAAAGTCTCCATGCCAGTGGCTGCTCCATGGTTGAAGGGGCAGTGATGGGAGAACTGGAGAAATTGCACTAAAGTTCCAGCACTTAACTGTGATCCAGTTACAGCAGAGACGTTTACAGACACAAGGTAAGTACTGGATTGTGACAAACTGTGATTCTTCTTCAGTCAAGTGGAGGACACTCATTTCTGGTTCCCATATAAAGAATGGTGACTTAAGTGAGGTACTGGTAACCCATGCAGTCTTCTACGGCTGCAAAGAGATAGCCACATTGCTATGGCTCTGGATTTGCATGTAGGTCAGACCGGGCAGTTTTTCCTTCCTAAAGGATATTTTGCTTTTTTACAACAACTGGCAATAGTTGTCAAGGTCACCATTATGGAGATCAGTTTTATATTGCAGAGTTATGAACTGAATTTTAAATTCCATCTGCTGCCATGGTGGGAGTTGAACCCATGGTCCCAGAGCATTAGCCTGAAACCATATTCCGAGTTTTTTTTTCCAAGCTGCTGCACAGACCAAACCAGATGTGAATGTATTAAAACACTAATTGGCACCTCCAAGTGGCTACGTGGCTGTTCAGCTTAGAGGGAATAATATTGTCCTGGACATCTGGATTATTGGCCCAGTGACATTACCAAAGTCACACCATCACCCCAGAAAGGTAAAGCAAATTTCAAACAAGAGTCTATATTAAGATATGGTTCTTGACAATGAAACTGTATAAACAAACATGCTAAAGCCCTAGGCAGTGTCTTTAAAATAATTTAAGATTACTTTTGAGGTAAGTTGTGTATGGTCAACCCAGAAAGACAAGGGTAGCAGATAAATGGGAACACCCAACATCTGCAAATGCCTCTCTAAGTCATTGCCAAACCTGACTTAGGACTATCACCATTCCTTCACTATAGCTGGATCAAAATTCTCAAACCCCCGGCTTAACAGGATGTACCTGCACTACATGCATCAAAGCACTTCAGGAAACTGGATGACCACCGCAGTGTCAATGGACAATTAGGGATGGGTAATAAATGCTGGCTCAGCCAGTGAGGCTCACAACCCACTAAAGAATAAGAAAATTAAATAACTGCAACTCTAGACAATATCAAGACAGAACATCAGACTGTTGAGATAAACATGCTCCTGATTGATTAGTTATTTTTGACTTGATGAGTTTACACTGAAAGGAAGTAGGACCAATCAACATGATCTTCTCAATTTTCTATGTTGTGAAAACATCACAAAAGTCAAGATTTCAGCTTGTACAGGCAAATCAAAAGAATAAAGTAGTTGTCTATTAGTAGAGAACTTGAGTGCTCTACGAAAAAGCCACATTTTTTCAGAGCTATTCATTTCACGTTCTTCGGGATATTCTCAAGAATACCAATGATGAGCAGGAACAACATTTTCTATTGCAAGAGAAATGAATGCTCACTGGTTAGCAAGTGGGATCCAATTGGTGGAGACATCATGTTGAATGCTCCAACTAGATGATGACTAACAACGTTTTTTAAAATTTAAACCATGTTGACTCTGATTTGACAAGGCATTTCCCTGAGTAATGAATCAGAAAATAGAGCCGCCTATTTTATTGAGTTGAGTTACACATGTTCTTTCTGTCTGCAAAGAAGATGGCCCTGTATTTTAAAAGACGTAGCTTCCAGTATGTGCAAGTGCACCACCCTTTGATCCTGAAATTGGTTATCAGTGCAAATTTTAGCAGACTTAAGATTACTTACCAAATGTTGCTCAATCATGGAATTACATCAAATATTGGACATTTTCTTTTGAGTTTTGCGAGTACAGGGCTGTTTGGGTACAATCATGACCTTGCCTTTTGCAAACTGGATGAACACGCTGTTTAATACAATCCACCAGTTTTTGAGACGTACAGCCTACATACCTCCTGTTACGTCAATACTGAAACTCCTATACACATTACTCATTTGGAGGATGGGTGGAATGTCTTTTTTGGTTTGATGGCAGCGATAGGTTAGTGGTGAAAACCATTCTAAATTTGCAGATGACATCAAATTTTGAGGTGGTGCAGTGTGGCAGGTACAAAAAATGGAGAATTAGAGTGGAACAAATGAAAGGGGACATTAATAAACTTGTAGAAAGTGGTAAATAATTTGAGAATGAAGTTCAACACAGATAAATGAGAGACAGCACTTTTTGGTAGTAAGAATAAAAATGTTACTTACTATTTGCAATGTGCCCACCTATGTAGGGTAGTGGAAGACAGGGATCATAGTGCTGGGTGTATTTGTACCCTAAATGTTATGTCAGAGTTTAGCAAGGTCATTAGAGGGTTAGAACTAAAAAGTAGCAACTTTATGTTAACTGTATCAAATGTTGCATAAACCACACTTACAGGGCACTATGAGAACACTTCTGGTTGACTTATGATAAAGAGGATATAGAGGCACCAGAGAGGTTGCACAGAGGACTTACTAACATGATATCAGAAAAACATGTCCATACAGATCAGGAAAGGATCAACAGGCTGGGTCTCTTTTCTCTTGGAAAAAATAGGCTGAGAGGATGACCTAATTGAATTTGATACAGTGGATACAAAGAGAATGCTCTCTCATATGGGGAAGAGAGTAACTAGAAGCCATTAATATAAGATAATTAACAAATCCAATAGAAATTTTTAAAAAAATCTCCATTCAGAGTTGTGAGAACATGTACCTCAGTACTACACAGAGTAGTTGAAACAAATAATAGGAGTGTGTTTAAAGGGAAGCTGGGCAAACACATGATGGAGAAAAGAATAAAGAGCTCAAAATTATAGATTTAGATGAATGATGGGAGGGGACTCAACTGGAATACAAAGACTGTATTCTTACACAATTGTACATATTACAGTACTACTATAAATCCAAATGATTGTAAGAGATCAGTAGTATAAGTAAGCCTTCAAAAAAACAGAATATAGGGTTTTAACTCAAGAGGCATATTGAGGACAATACAGTTTCATTGCCAAACAGTGTAACAGGACTTTGCAGACAATCATGGGCTCTGACTGAAATCATATTTGACCTGTCCATTCTTATAAAAGGAAGAGAGCTTTACTACAAATGCTCATTTAATACTTTATGCAAATGTTTAGAATGTCAAGGGAGCAGAATCTGTAAAATTCTATGACATCCTGAACATATACTAGCATTTTGCTGGATTACTTGAATCTCCAGATCTAAAACAAATCATTTAACAATAACTAATTCTATTGCACTGTTAAAACAATTAAACATTTCAAGGTGCTTCACAGCAGCATTATAAAGTGAATTATGGCACCCAACCACACAAGGAGATTTTGGTCAAATGATCAAAACTTTGGACAAAGAAGTAGATTGTGAAAGTATCTTGGAAGGCAAGCAATGTATACAGGTGTAGAGCATGGGCCTAAGCAATTGAAGGCAGGACCACAAATGGTACCACAATTATATTTGTGAATACACAATAGGCCAGAATTAGGGAAGCATAGATATCTAAGAGGGTTTGGACATTACAGACAGGGAGAAGCAAGCCCACAAAGGGATTTGAAAACGAGGATGATTTGACTTGATGTGAATTGATTTAATAGACACCTATACCAACGTATAGACAAAAACGTTGTCTTACATGCTACACAGGCAGATCGTACTATACAAGTGCATCAGGGTAACAGAACAGGGTGCAGGATACAATGTGACAGCTGCCAAGAAGGTGAGGGGGTGGGGGGGGGGGGGTGGGGATCAACATTAACATTAAAGAATTCCATTCAAAAAAGTCTGATAACAGCACTGAAGAAGCTGTTCTTGAATCTCTTCATACATGTATACCAATTTTTATATCTTCTGCCCGATGGAAGAGGGTGGAAGAGAGTATAACCGGGGTGGGAGGGGTCTTTGATTACATTGGTTGCTTTCCTGAGGCATACATGAAGTCAATGGATGGAAGGCTGGTTTGTGTGATGGTCTGGGCTGTATTCACGACTCTAGTTTATTTTAGTCCTGGCCACAGTAGTTGCCATGCCAAGCTGTGATGCATCCAGATAGGATGCTTTCTATGGTGCATCTATAAAAATTGGCAAGAATCTTCATGAACTTCCTTAGCATCCTGAGGAATTAGACGCATTTGTGTGCTTTCTTGACTGTAGTATCAACACCAGTGGACCAGGATTGTTGGTGATTCTCAATCACAGGAACTTGATGTTCTCAACTTTCTCCATCTCAGCACCATTGATGTCGACAGGAGTGTGTCCTCCATTCCTCTTCCTGAAGTCAGTGACCACCTCTTTCGTTTTGCTGATGTTGATGAAGAGATTGTTGTTTTTAACACCATGCTGTT